TCAAGTGAAAGCCAAGCCATTCATTTCAGAAACATTAAAAGTGTTTGACTTCATGTTTCTATGCTGTCTTTTCTTTCAGCTTTTCTTTTGCAATATTTACCTCCAAAATGACTGTCCCATTTTCAGAAAAGGTCACCAGTCTCACTTTCAGGCATGATTATTTACACTGTAACTAGAGACCACTAGCCAACTACAGATGTGCATGATACAAGCTGAACTAAGAACTTCTAAACAAACAACCAAATAAAAATGGACACTGCCAAATAGTCTTCTGTCATCTACTGTTCCCCAACAAAAAATTCTGCATCATCACTGATTTCAACAAAGAAGAATTATTTGTTGGTGCATTATAAATTTTTCACATTTGCAAACTGTCATTTCTTGTTACCATGAACTTTTTTGCTAGGGTAGGTAGCCACCTACTTTACCTACCCTTTAATCTGACCAATAAGTGACCTTTCCCATAACAGCTTCTTTTGGGAAACCTCCCAACTGCATACCACCAATGGTGGGCTTCAGGGAAGATAGCAGTAGTAGGAATGCTAGTGTAAACAGAGGCCCAAATGTTCAGTTCCATGTTTAATATCATGAAGATGTTCCCTGAGCAGGATTCAGTGATTCAGTCAGGCAAATGCAAGTCCCTTGTCTATATTGCTGTTCTCACTATTGCATCTATCACAGGAGCTGTGCCAGCATTAGTGGGGAAAATTGGGTAATTTCCTTAAAAATCTAGTTTAAACATAGCACAGCAGGCCAGAATATGGCCCCTGTTGAAAAATCAGTCAGATCACTAAATTGTCTTATTTCCAGGTTTACACTGCTATAAATGAGAACAGAATTGTCTTTATATCATTACTTTGCTCTACCATGAAAATAACTGGTTAAATTTACATGAAGAGATGTAAACATATAATTGGGAACAATATTGAATGACCCTTTTTCTTCATCCAGTGCTGAGAAACTCACAGCTAGTTCCACTGAAGATGAAGCTATACAAAAAAAACTCAATCATTTATATCATATCAATATATTAGAACTACTATTCCTTTTCTACACAAGCCATGTTTTTTTGACATGTGCTTATTTTGGTTCCACTTTTAAAAAAAGTTAGACTTATTTTCTAGACCAATTATCTCCATAGCTCAGGTTCTAGCATGCTATGAAACTGTTGTTTTTTAAATACTGATGATTCTTTGGAGACAAAGAAGTAGTTAAGTAAACAAAAAATATAATTGAATGATGATAAAAATGTATATTTGGTATTCATTTCCTTCTTCATAAATTGTTCTATATCTGGAGCTTTCTATAAAATGGATTTTGCCAACATACTATATGAACAGATTTTCAGTTACTTATGTAGCTAAAGGTGCAGGCAGGTTAGCCTATACAAGTTAGCTGTTCATCTCCCACTGCTTTGAAAATCCAATTTGGTACCTACTTGCATCTTTAGTTGCCTAAATACTTTTGAAAATATGTCCTGTAGGCTTTATACTCAAATTCCTTCAGTTCAGTTGAATATCAAGCTGCTTAATGGTTTGAAATTTCAACCACAGTTTAGTAAACAAAGGTGTTTTTCCAACTAACACCACATATAATCAATTAGGTAAGCTAATGGCTATATTCTATCTCCTACTTTTCTGGTTCACATCTGTAATATAAAGAGATACTTGTTTGTTTAGAGTAAAGGGAGTTCTGTTATTGTATAACTATGACTTTTCAGACAACAAAAAGCAAAAAAAATGCACAGAAAGAAAGAAATGCACTAACTCTTTTAGATATCTATTTATTCAAAAGCAAAGTGTAAAAAGTAACCTTTGTAAAACTTATCACACCCATAATGAATGTTATGGATTGAATTGACATACTTCTCTTTTCCCGTCAATCATAGAGGAACAATATTCAAAGTATGAGTGTTTATACTTCCCAAATAAGCTATATGTCTGCAGTATAATGAACAATTACTCTTGCCAGTACTAATAGATTATAAAGAAACACTAGCTTCTCATAATAGATGGACAAGTTACATCCACATGATTTGTGATGACAGTCAGCTACATCATATATATTGTCATCTGTAAACACTTCATTTATGTGGGTAGCCTCTCAGAGTTGTTCAAGTGAGTAATTCTACTCACATCAGGAAAGTTTGGAATATTTGGCTCTTCATTCATTAAGGCTGGATTATATCCATTTAGGTTTTGCCAATCTGGAGTAATTCTCCTGATTTTGGAGTTACTCACAACTGACACTGCTATAAATGAAGGAAGAATCTGACCAATAAAATTAAATTATTATAAAAAAATATGAATGTATTAGAAATTTTCACATTGCCAAAACTAATTCACTGCAAGAATGGTTTATCACTGTATTAGGAAGAATCTAAAACCACCATTAGAAATATAGTGACTGCATCTACATGAGACACTGACTACACAGTAACCCAATACTACTACACAGTAACGTCACATGGCAACAACTGTGATGTGATGTTACTTTGCAGTAGCATTAGATTACTGAGAAGTAGCGTTACGAAAAAGACATTTGTCAGCGCTACTGCACAGTACTCGGGTTACTGCACAGTCATTTAGTACTTGTTTATCCAAGTACTAAATGACTACAGTCAGCATCTCATGTAGACATAGCCAGTATGTGCAAACAGTATTGCAGGGTACATAGTGAGTTTCATACTGAGTTAATTGTATACTGGGCATGTCTACCCATGCGCATTTACTGCACAGTAACCAAAATTACTGCACAGTATGGGCATGCATCTACACATGCACACCCATACTGTGCAGTAAATATGGTGACTTACACCAACTTGAGCATAAATTTGATATCTGCATCACGCAGGTATCAAATTTATGCCCGATTATTTACTGCGCTGTAATGCACATGTAAACACTGCACAGTAACACTGTGTGTAGACTAACTTTACTCCCAAGTCAGTCCACACATAGCATTAATGTGCTTTAGTGCCTTCACATGTAGACAATGGCCTATTCCCACCTATCGTGCAGTAAATTTAAGCTGGTGTAAATGTATGTGTAGACATGCCCACTGTGTATTTCATCAGCTACTTGACTGTGCTAAAATGCAGCACCTTTCAAAATAATTTTAAAAACAGTAATCCATGTAGCCTATAAGGGATATAGTATTATATATTAAGTACGGGGATCACACTTACATTTTCTTAGTTTTTGGCAAATTGCTACCATTTGAGAGAAGTCCCATGTACTATAAATAGGGAGTAGAGGTAAAACTAACAATCTCTCTCAAACTGGAAGAAACTTTTCAGTCATTCCTTGTAACTAGCTATTGCTTAGTTTAGCAGCAATTACTTATCAGGACATGTATTCATACATAACTGAAATACTTGTGAGCAAGTGGGTACAGTACTACCCAGATCTGACACAGATTTCCAACAGGAAGACTGTATTAATCTACACATATTCCACATAACTATGTAGTACAACTTCAGATCATTTCAAATTTATTTCTAAATATACATTTAACCATGACTCAAAGTTGAGGCTTCTAAAATTACATTACAACCTGCCTGAAGCCACCTTCTACACCATTTGGCAGAATGCATTTCATGAGCTATCCTTAAAAGGTAAGAGGGATTCTGTTTCAAGACGAGCGTTTGTATCCAAATGTGTTTAGGTTTATAAGGGTCTAGTTGATGATTAGCTTATCCTGGATATAAAATTAAGTTTAGAGAGACTTGGAATGTCTTTCCCAAGCTTCTGGAACCTCTTCACTTACATTAAGACTAGTAAAATACTTGAAATTCCCTAACTGAGGGGAAATAAGGTCCACGGCCACTCCACGTGTTAAGAAATTTCTCATCATTACGTTACCACTGGAGTAGCTCCACTAGTGGTATGAATAGTGGGGTCATCAATGTTGATTAGCCAATGAGAGATCTAGCCCATCTAGCCCCACTCAGAGCATAACTAAACAACACAGAGACAAAATACAATTATCTGACTAAGCTGTCTACATTGCTTCCTCTCTTAGCATCATCGGTGAAGATTTAGTTGTGTGCTGAAGCTGCTGCTCTGAGAGATTTACAAATAGATCTAAAATAGATACAACCATATTTTGCACCCACACTTAACATATTTCTAAATTCTAAAAATGTAGACAGTCTGGCATGACTTCAGTTAACACAGCTGCTTTAATACACAAACAATACTAACTACAGAAGTGTTTGAAAATGAGAGCCATGCATACTGCTTAAAGACCAGGGCCCCACAACTATTCTTGTAAATCACAATTGGCATCATTCAAGCCATAGCAGGGTGAGGGCCAAAATGGCATCACAAGACCATTTCAAAAAGTCTTTAGGTATACGTCTTTTCTCTTGATTCTGCTCTTTTCAAATTTTCCTCAGATCAGGACATGAACATTAGAATAAATTATGTTTGTTGTATTAGATACATAGCTGCATGTTTGCATATAATGAGTTACTGAGCAACAAGTTGCATATTTTCACATAAGCCTTTAATCATGTTGGGAATAACACATGAGTCCAGGAATCTCCCCAACCTTTGCAGTTACATTTCTAGTATTATTAGAAAAAACTTCATCACTTGTCATCCTAAAGGAATTCAAAATATCTCATATTAAAATGTGTAGCATATGACAAGCCAAGTGTTAAACAGCAACATATTGGGATGGTTTCATATTCAATGAGTAGAGTTCGTTTTGTACAAGGAACAGCAAAAAATTTAGGACTTATCACAGACATCTTTGGGGCTTTTCTTATCAGATTCAATGTGATCAAAACCAAAAAGTTCTAACAAAATGTCTCAGCAAACCTGGATATATAGTCAGTCTTTTCACATTTTATTTTTCTGAACATGTTGGGTAACATTAGAATTAACACAGTACCTGCCAACATTATGTACTGGTGTGATCTGCAGAGTTAAATCATATATACCCTTGTATGTGTTTCTGTCTCTCTAATGTGGCAATGACTAACCTAGCTAATATTAACAAAAGTACTCATTGGGTTGCCCCTCCATCTTTGGTATTGCCTCTGAGTCCACGCTGGATCGTGCAGATAGCAGCCTGTTAGATTCATCCCGGGTATGTCTAGTCAAGTATTCTCCTTCTGTTCCTTTTGTTTTCACTCCTGAAGAGAGGCTTTCAAATGTGACATAGGAGTCCTGGATTTCCTTGGGTTTCTGCAATAAGCATTTTTTGCAGCGCCTTTTCAGTGCCCCACAGCAAACCACTAAAGTCAGAGGAACAGCTATGACGCAGGCCACACTAATAACCACCACATTAATGAGTTTTTGGGTTCCACCAGCACTGGCAACTTCATCTGTGGAAAATATGGTGCATTGCTCTTTCCTGGGGATCAGTCCTTTCATGCAGACACACACTATGTATTTGGTCTTTGGCAACAGCCCATTAATAGTGATCTTCATCTTACCTGGCTCCACATTGATTCTACGCATGTCTCTTTCTCCAAAAATGGCATAAAGAACACTGAATTCAGTTGTGTTCTTGGCCAGAGGGGCTTTCCAAGCCAATGAGATACTTTGATCTGTGTCCCCTATCACTCTAACAGACCTTACTATACGTTCTGGCTCCTGTTGACCAGTGGGTGGACTTGATAAAAGGTTTCTTCGGTTGTTATTCTGCTCACTAACTATATTCTGGAGCCCAAGATTCTCTTCTGTACCTGATCTGGCACTCTGTGTAGGTGAAGTTGAGGTTGTGATAACATACCTAGCCATCAGTTTATCATTGTAAGCAGCTGCTTCCATACTGCTTACCTTTCCATTCCAGACTCCTTTAGAGTTAGCATTAGGATCATCTGTGTTTTCAGAATCAGTGATAATGAGAGATATAAAGGCCTCTGTTGCCCCTAGGAAGTTCTTTGCTTTACAAATGTACTCTCCAGAATCAAGATAAGAGACTACAGGTAAGCCCAGGATAGACCAACTCATTCCATCACTAGAAATTTCCTGATGCACTAAAAGAAGGAAAAAAACAAGGATATAATGTAAAATACAAAGATAATACTTTCAGAATGTTTATATATACACCATAGTGATCATTTTAATGTCACCACAAAGACTATGAAATCAAAATAAATTTATTGAAAGGACATTAACTATTAAAGTGACCTTGAAGTTGGTCACTTTAAGCTAGCTCATTCTTTTGTACCCCTCAAAAAATATGAAGAGTTTTTTCTCCTTCTTTATCAAAGAAAAAAAGGCTTCTGGGTAGTGTTTCATATAAGTATTTCATATTATCAAAACCTGATTAGGGTTACAGTTCAAAACCAAGATAAAGAGCATAGTTCCATCTTCAGGGAAAAAATAACTTGTATATGCAAAATACAATAAGGATGTGATGTCAGAGGAGTGGACTGAGGTGTGTCTGGAAGAGCAGATATACTTTTTACTTCTGATTTACATGAAAGAAAATATTGGAAAATATGCTCATAACACATTTATGGATCCCATCTAAATTAAATACACAGAGGCAAGTAGCTGGGAAATAATATCCCATTGCTGTAGAATTAAGGTACGTAATTATATCATATTAAAAACTGAGAAATCTGGACACCTTACAAAAATTAGATGAACTCATCCAGTCATGTAAACCCAACTGATCTTTGATTTTCTTGCTCTACTACATACCATCCCCTTTCCATCCCCTTTTCTCCCTATCAACTTACAGTTGTACAAGAAATGAAAGCCTCAAGTAAAGATAGGTTTGGGACTAGCCAGGAAAAAAGTTTTGGGTTTTTTTGGCACAAATATGGCAATCAAAGCACTAGCAATCTCTCCTATCCAAATTTGTCTCTTCTGAAAGATACTTTAATTTAAAATAGAAATGAATCTAAGTTACAACGTTAAAATTGGGTTCCAAACTTTCTCAAAGTCCAATGGAATTAAGTCTAGCATTTTAGACCAGGAAACTTTCTGATGAAAATCAAATCAACCATAAAGCAGAAAATGGTTTTGTATAAGTATGTATTGAGTAGGGATGTTGAGTAAAAGACATTTCCAGTCTTTCTGTAGCAATTCAACCTCATTTTAACATCTAGAATTAGTTCATTTTTTTTCTTTCCATTCAGGAAAAAAATATTCAAACTGTCAAAATGTTGTGTTGGCAAAGAAGATACCACCACTGAGATGCAGTCTATTTTTTCAGCGAAGTGCTCACTGAAAAGTAGTAAACCTATGCTTAATGGGACAGAAGATATATCAATCTTGACTGTAGCTGAACTTTCTGGACTGCATACTCTTTTTTGTGTTTTGTTATTTCTTTAATGTAGGAGGCATGTTTTCAGCATGATGTGTTTGTAGTAGAACCCCCAGGTTTATTTTCTTTTTTTTTTTTTTGTATTTATTTTAAAATGCATTCCCTCCCCTTCCCCAACCATTTCTGACCTTTTCTCTCCCTCTCTATTCCCTATAGATAAGTAAAAGTGAGCTCAAACTTAGGATAAGCTTTAAACATTTTTATTTTGGTAGCAAGTTTTTGGTTTTGGATACCCATTGTTTTACATTGTATAATTATTAGTTTTTGTATTGATTTTTACTGTTGTATATTGTATTATTATAATTTTCATATTGATTTTTATTGTTTCATGTGGATATTGTATGGTTTAGGCCTGTGTTTGTAAGTGAACCAAAGTCACATCAAGTTTCCATTTTATATGTCAAGTCTCCACCTTCTGTCCTCTGCCTGGGCATCCCATGTTGCAACTGTATGAGTCACATACCCCTCCCATATAAATTGGTTCCCCAGTGAATGAGTGTGATTGGAAATGATTGAAATACAATGGTAGCAGGCCTCTATTGAATGGCCGGTAATGACTGGGCCATCACCTCGCATTGATTTATCCAGGAACCACGGACCTCACACAGGAACAGAGATAAGACCAACATTTGAAAGACAAGAGACCCTGCAAAACCAGCAACTCTCACCATTACAGACACCAGAAACTGCACATCCCTGCATGGAGCACACATGCTCAGTACGCCAGGGCTGACCCTTACCTGGGCATGCCTCCTGTCACTAGGGTCACACAAGGTCTGCCCCTATAAAAATGGGCAGTGAAGACAGACCCAGTGGGAACGCCATTTCCATCTGGACCAGCACCATGCCACACCACCTATCCACCCAGAAGCCCTGCCGGCGACCCCACTCTAGACAACACCTACTGGACAAGGACCCCTTCCAGCCTGGATAGGTAGATATTACCTGCACACCTCCTCCTACAATTTGGACTCTCTCTCTCTCTGTCTCTCTCTCCTCCTGGACTTCAGTAGACTTCAGCCCCTCCACCAAGCCTCTTTAACCCCTGCTGCCATTGTGTGTGTGTGGGTGGGTGGGTGCAAGGGAATCAATGTGGCATTGTGTCACTATCTCCCCTGTTCAATAAAACCACTGTCATTTGCAACCCTGACTTGGGTCATGTTTTACTGAATCCCAGTCCCTTCCCTATCTTAAATTCCAGCCTCATTCTCTCTCTCTCTCAGCTCCAGTTCCCACCCTCTCTGCTAGTTTCCTTCCAATTCCATCTCCCCTTTTCTGCCACCTCTCAGCCTCTCCTTGCTTTCCTGCTGTCCCTGCTTCCTGCTGTCCATCTCTCTGTTTTCAGGCTTCCCCCGCATCTTCTGTAATCTCCACCCCCCCTGCAACTTCACAGCTCCTATTAGCTCTCTCCAGCTTCCAGTACCTACTGCTGCTCCCTGCAACTTCTCTAGCTGCCCCGGAGCCATCCATGGCTCCCCACACCCAGAGCCCCTCTTTAACACCCACACTTTCCCTTAGTTCCATTTTCCTTGTCCCCATCTACCTTTTCACCTCCCCTGTAGCTATGGCTTCAGTCCCAGACTCTGTGCCAGCATGCTTCCCTGTTCTGCAGGCTTTGGGCATTGTCTTTTAATCAATTAAGATCAATTAACCTAAAGTTACCCCCGAGCCTCAGTTCTTCAGCCCAGGCCCCTCTAGTCTACCAGTTCTAATCCTGGTCCTGGTGACTCATTTCCAGTAACTTTAACTCCCTACACTTCTACTTTCTTACCTTAACCTTTCCCCAGGTATCCCAAGTACACCAAGCACATGCATACATATGCATCACAACACCCAACTTAGGAACTCACCTGTGTGTATGTGTAGGTGGGTGGTATGTGTGTAAATTAGTGAATACACATATATATACATATATAGATATCATTGCGTGTGTGGTATATAAATTAGTAATCCACGTATGTGTATTGGATGTGCAGGTGTTGGTAACTGTTAACTGATTCTGTCTAAATTTGATGTGTGTAGCGTGTATGGGCTTAAACTGGTGATAGGTGTGCATGAACCTAGACTAGTTATTTTGGACGTGTGTGTATCTGAGTTGCTAGTGTGAGTGGGGTGTGTGTATATATATATGTGTGTGTGTGTATATATATGGCATTGTGTGCATGATATACGAATTAGTGATCTGTGTTTAACTTCTGGGGTGTCTAGTGTATGCGCTTGAATTGGTAATAGGTATGCATGTGTCTAGGCTGGTTTGAATGGGTATGTGCCTGAGCTGGTAGTATGTGTGTGTATGCACCTAATTTATTTGTGTGTTTGTATATGTGCAATTGTACACCATGCCTTCCTGCCTAACGGTTCAATATTGAGATCCTGAGCATTGGCCTGACCCCTCAGGGCAACTTGTTAACATTATCATTTGTAGTAGTTGCTCCACTAAACCCTGTATATCATGCACAACAGAGCAATGACCTGTGAAGATCACCAAAAAGAAGTCTTATATGTGGTTCTACACCTGTGAAAGAAAAAATATATCTGTTCCCTTGCTGTATTTCTTATATTGTATTAAGAAATCTGGTAACCCTTTAAGGGTCCTAAAGCACTGATACATTTATTTTGTTCAATCTTACAAGAAAACAGGATGGCCCAATGGGAAAGGAACTTAGAGTTGTCCTGAAATTGAACCCTTTCGGCATTCTTGAAGTCAATAGTAAATTGTACCAGTGACTTGAGTGGGGCAAAGATTATGCCTTGAATCTCACGTTCTGGAAGTTGTGTGCTGACCCATATGTCAAGTGAGTACATTTTGTTGCTCTTTATAACAACCTATGTATTCAAATAGATCCAGCAATTCTGTCACTATATAATGAGGAGAGGAAGTTAGTTGTGTTAGTTTGAAGTCAGGCAGAAAGCATGGTATGGATTGCCTTATAGACTAACTGAATCAGAGATGAGCAAGACCACAATTCATCAGATATTAGCAATCATCTGATGATGTGTACTATTCACAAAAACATATGCATCTATTCTGTCTTCCTCCATAATGGCCATCTTGAAGGATACAGTGCCCCCACTGCTATTCCAACCTAATGAATAACAGGGCTATTCAGAATTTTTCTGAATTACCATTTTGCCATCAGAACACACTAGTTCATTGAAACTTTTCACAGGAATGCATAAGTCTTAATATTTGTACTGAAGCACTTGGGAGCTTTTACTGTTGCATAGATTTTGTAGACATTAGGCCTGGATGGGACTTAGCAAGATCATCAGGTCCAGTCCCGTGCCCAAAGGGCAGGGCAGTCAGCAGGGTTCAAATGATCCCAGCAAGATAGGCATCCAAGTGTTTCTTAAAGAAATCCAGAGTATGTGCCTGCACCACCTCTGGGGGGAGTTTATTCCAGGGACTTGGACAGTAAAGAAATTTTTCCCTATGTCCAACCTAAAATGGTCTTCCAAGACTTTGTGACTGTTGGACCTAGTTTTCCCATGGGGTGCTCTGGTGAACAGATGTTCTCCCAGTTCCCAGTGCACACCCCTTATGTACTTATGGGCTGCTACCAAGTCACCCCTGAGCCTACACTTCTCCAGGCTGAAGAGTGCCATACCTTTCCTCATAAGGCCAGCCTTCTTGTCCTCTAATAATTCATATAGTTCTCCTCTGGAGTCTCTTGAGCTTCTCCACATCCTTTCTGAATT